TAACCGCGACACTACTGACTGTAGACCATCAAAGTTTGAGGCTAACAGCGCACTAGGGCAACTTGAAGCAGACACAAATACTTATTTTAGAAAAATGGAGTATTACATCAAAAATACAAAAGCCTACCCTGTTGGGAGTCTTTAACTATGGGAACGTTGTCGAGATAAGCTATTAAGCTGTGATTTGGGCCATTTAGTGCCCGCCCCTCTTTCTGTTAAAGGCCCTACTCCAAAGTGTTTCTTGGGACTCACTCACAAGGTCTGATAATAAAGACGTTAAATAAGGATTATAGGGTTTTCGTTTAGAATATAGCAATTGTTTATCAAAGTCCTTAAGTGTTGTATTTCTTCATTTGCAGTGCCACTATTAATGGAATTCAAGCTCCGTATAAGCGCATGCAACCAATACACCCTAAATTTCCCGCGAAAATGCGTCTGTCTTTCCTAAATCCTCAGGATTTCCTGTCCAACGGCTGCTTTGGTGCCGTGTGGTCTGCGAAGTACCATACGGCTAAGGAACTTGACGCTCCAAGTGCGTTAGTCTCTCATGTCTCCTTCTTTCGTTTAATATCTAACTTCTGTAATGTTTTCTCAATTTCGCTTTTTATTCGGGCCAGAAGCATTCGAGAATACACCTTTTCGTACTTTTAGGGTTTCTTTTTGACCCGTAGGGCAAAACTATGCTGTTGTACCGATTTATTTATTTCACCCCTTGCTGAAAACCATTTTTGTTGCGCTCTTACTAATCCTGTAGATGACTTAGCTGTCAAAGTTCTCTACAACTTCTACGCGGCCAATTCCGAAGACGGAGACATTGATGTTTCGGATTCATCCCGCGACGAATACCAAGACTCTTCGATGTCTGTCCACTGGCATCTACTGCATAAGCAAGTACAACGTGAATGTGACTTGCGTCCTGCCGCCTATCATCCAAATATTGTGCCGGTGTGGAAGAAGTTCTTTGACAGAGCGCCACCAGCACCAAAGACCGTCGATAATTCATCGGCCTCTGATGTCTCTTCGATGCAGCCGTGGCAGAATGCAGAACAGTTCCAGGAAGGTTTTGGAGGCCGACCAGTCACATGCTACCTAGTCATGCCCAAGTAAGTTATTTTTAAAAATTATTGTCACTTCTGCAACGTTGGGCATGAATAACTTTCTCAGTTGCACCGGATATTTCAATTTTTGTGTCGTTGGCCCTATAATTCACCCTTTGTTGCTCCTCTCACTGTCTCATTTTTTTTTATTAATTCGTATTAGTTTCTTTGTAGTGTTTTTTCTTTTCACTGCCTTTCTCGAGACCTCATATTCACGTACTTTTTCCGCTAGGTTTGAAGCGAACCTGGATGACATGCTTAATCACAAATGGTGTCCACCTAGTACTGCCATTACTGATCCTCAGTCATCATCCTCTTATCACTCAAATTCCCCCTCGTCTATTCCTTCCAACCCCAATTATCGTTTGCCAGTGGAAGAGGGAGTGTCTCTCCTGGCGCAGATATTCGAGGCGATAGCAGCATTGGAGCGTTCTGGGGTTGCCCATCGCGACCTAAAACCCTCTAACGTGCTCGTTCGTTCACGGTCATCGAGACCAAACAGTACGGGCACACTTAATGGTAAGTGCCCATCAGAACGGTACGTTCCTTTTTCAAACTAAAGTACGCCACCTTGAACGTGAAAATGACAATAGTGCCGCAAGGATTACCACACTCACGGTCACTTTGTTAGACGCAGACCATTTTGAGTTTTGCAATCTGCATCTTGGACGGAAATTATGCCGGATTCACGCTCTCATCAGATTAGCAGTGCATTTTACCTTGATGGTAGGAGTAAGGTAGCTCAGTCAGCTGGTCTTAGGTACTCATATAAGACGTTATTAATTTTGTCCTCTATAAAAAAACTCCAAAACCACTCCCTTTTAATATGTTAAGGGCTAGTTAGCGTTGTCCATTTCGTTCACCAATTGAAAGCTAAGGGGTTAGGTTGGTCCGATATATTTCGTCGATTGAGGATTCAAGATTTATAATCAATGGGTCGCGGGTTCGAGCCTCGGATGGTGCACCACCCGGGGTTGGGTATGGCTGGCTGATGACGGCTAACAAGTCAGAAATGGTCATTCCTGTCTCCCCTTGCCTTTGTAGGCAGTTTGTCTGCCTATAATATAACAACCGCTGTGTGGTTTCTGGCGAGGTTTGAGAGTGAGCCTCAAGGCAGAACGGGCGAGTGAGTTCCGTAGCCGGCTGGTAAGCGTCCATCCGCCAATGAGGATATACGGTTATTTTTAGGTAGTATAGGTTCGGTTTATGGGGTTACTAAAAAGGAACTTAAGGGCTTTTTGCGTTATGCATTTCATTGACCGATTGATGGATCAGAATTGAATCAAGGTGGTTAGGCTTTAGCGGATTTAGGGG